CCTGCACACCTCGATCTTACGGGCCGGGCCACCTCGGACGGTGCGGCCCATGTCTTGTCTTGAGGATACCGGGGGCCATACCCCCACAGCTAGTCCCCGAGCGCCTTGTATTCTTTGAGTAGCGTCGTCTTGAGCTTGCCAGAAGGATGTAAGGGGCTCAAGATAAAATTTGAAAAATATTTCCCTCGAAGTGTGCCCACTTTGACTCTGAGTCAAAAAGAGACACCATCATCCGTGTAGAATCGGAGGTGTTTGAACCATCAGAACGAGCACATTCACCGTAAGGTGAAGTGTGCCCACTTAGTCCCCGAGCCTGGTAGTAGGTGACGTAGGCACGTGGTGCCAGGGTCTAAAAAGAATTCCCAGTTAAGTTGAGAATCCAATCGTCGTACAGGCGATACGAGATGCACCGGCAGGTGCATCGTACGGATGTAGTCCCCGAGCTTGCTGGAAGGTGAGGTATGAGCCTTGTAGCAAGGTCTAAGTGAGAAAAAAATATCCCAACTGTATGCGAGTCACCAGTCGCATGTAGTCGAGATGCAAAGTCCCCGAGCCGTGGTCGGAGAGTGGCCGAGGCAGTCCCCGAGCACAGGTCGAGGAGTGAGCGACGAAGTCCCCGAGCCGTGGTCGGAGAGTGGTCGAGGCAGTCCCCGAGAAAGGTCAAGGAGCGAGCGACGAAGTCCCCGAGCTGTGGTCGAAGAGTAGTCGAGGCAGTCCCCGAGCACAGGTCAAGGAGCGAGCGACGAAGTCACCGAGCTGTGGTCGGAGAGTTGTCGAGGCAGTCCCCGAGCACAGGTCGAGGAGCGAGCGACGAAGTCCCCGAGCTATGGTCGGAGAGTGATCGAGGCAGTCCCCGTGCGTAGGTCGAGAAGAGAGCGACGAAGTCCCCGAGCTGTGGTCGGAGAGTGATCGAGGCAGTCCCCGAGCGTAGGTCGAGAAGCGAGGGACGAAGTCCCCGAGCTGTGGTCGGAGAGTGATCGAGGCAGTCTCCGAACGTAAGTCAAGGAGCGAGCGACGAAGTCCCCGAGCTGTGGTCAGAGAGTGGTCGAGGCAGTCCCTGAGCACAGGTTGAGGAGTGAGTGACGAAGTCCCCGAGCTGTGGTTAGAGAGTGGTCGAGGCGGTCCCAGAAAGCATGAGTCAAGGCAGCGAGTGATGAAGTCCCCAGCTGTGGGTCGAGAGTGGTCGAGGCGCCTTCGAGCACAAGTCAAGGAGGGAGCGACGAAGTCCCCGAGCTGTTGTCAGAGAGTGGTCTTGGCAGTCCCCGAGCACAAGTCAAGGAGTGAGCGACGAAGTCCCCGAGCTGTGGTCAGAGAGTGGTCGAGGCAGTCCCCGAGCACAGATCGAGGAGCAAGCGGCGAAGTTCCCGAGCTGTGGTCAGAGAGTGATCAAGGCAGTCCCCGAGCACAAGTCGAGGAGCGAGCGACGAAGTCCTCGAGCTGTGGTCGGAGAGTGATCGAGGCAGTCCCCGAGCACAGGTCGAGGGGCGAGCGACGAAGTCCCCGAGCTGTGGTGGGAGAGTGATCGAGGCAGTCCCCGAGCGTAGGTCGAGAAGCGAGCAACGAAGTCTCCGAGCATAGCTCAAAATTCCTGTAATATAAATATGTAGAATGGTAGTACATGATGTACAAAGCAATAAATTATGGAGAAAATGACGCTCAGCAGTCATTTGCAAATGAGCATGATGTGATAAAGCAGTTGGTGCTTTGTAAACATCAGTGTTAAAGTGAAGTTTGTATTTATACTTAATATAAACTACCCGACCAGTTAGTATGTAGCTGAGTCTCCAGCCCTAGCTAGCCCGTTAACCATAACGCGGGGCGCGGAGCCCGTGCACGTGTAGGAAGAACAAAGCGTCGCTAAGGAGCCGCTGCCAACTACCCATAACGCAGAGGGCTGACGCTCGTGCACGTGTAGGGAGGAGCCGGAGACAGGGCCTTTTCTGGAGACATCGAGCGTCAACATGATTGGTCGAGGATTTGCATTAAGTATAGCTGTAAGTTATCTTTAAGATGGTATACATGGACAAACATTATTTGAAGAATAATCATGACGAGGACGTTACGGAGAAACGTCGTAATGAAAATTGTATTAAATATAAATATTAGAAGTGTACTTATTTTTGGATAGAAATCTGGTCAGTGGCGATGAAGTTGTCCGGTCCTCGAGCTTTCCAACCTGTCGTCATGACGGTGGTCGTGGTTGTCGTAACGCCGTTCTTTGCGGCGGTCATTATTGCGACGTGGTCTGGTGGTCGATGTGGTCGGAGCTCGACGGAGCTGCTCAGGACGTGGTCGACGTGGTCGTGGTCGGAGCTCGGTAGAGCTGCTCGGGATGTGGTCGTGGTCAACGTGGTCGGAGCTCGGCGGAGCTGCTCGGGACGTGGTCGACGTGGTCGTGGTTGGAGCTTCGGCGGTGTCGGTTTGCGTATGAAGACGTGCAGTTGATCTGCTTCATACATGGAGGTGTAACACGCAGTCTTCATACGTGGATGCATGTGTACAGGCAAGTCTTGGTAGCTTGCATGGCGGTGTAGATGCAAGTACGTAAAGCCTGCACGTGATGTATGTATATGCAAGTTGATCCGTCGTATCTTGGTTTGGCTTGCATGTCTTCTCGTATGTACATGAGGCATGTACAGATTGATTGGCTTGGCTTGCATGATGATCTAGCTTGCTGGCTTGTTGTCGTTCGGCTGACGCAAAGGCACATATTCATGTACGTACTCGTCCATACCAAATCTACCAGGCCTCACGGACTCGGCGATAGGCTTTCTCGGCGACGGGGAAGCAACGGACTCCACGGAAAACAGAACGGCAGCGACAAAAAGAGGCTCTAGGTAGTGCGACATGTAGCAGATGCGGTGCACGGACTCGCCTGGATCTGGCGCCTTCTTGTACTCGTCCGATGCCTTCACCAAGTTAATGGAAACCTGCCGGCCCCACCTTAATCGGAGTAGACGTCGGGTTCGATTGTTGCACGACCACGCGAGTCTTCGATCTAGGTTTCTGGTCTTGGCACGGCGACTTGAGTTCGGCAGCAAATCTCCATGTTGACGTCGCAGGCAAGATGAAAGTCAATCTCGCTAGGACGTAAGTCTTCAGATCCCATCTGGTTCACCATGGATCAACACGTACAACCCCTAAAAGGGGACCCCTACCTGGCGCGCCACTGTCGACGAAATATGGTCGGCAGTCCACCGAAGGGGGTGCCCGTGGTGGTAGATTATCGGTAGGATACGTGTAATCAGAAACCAGATGGTTACAGAGACACAAGACACAAGATTTAAACAGGTTTAGGCCGCCAGTGTAGCGTACAACCCTACGTCCTGTGCTCTGTTATTTGTATTGATCTGGGGTGAGATCTGTTATGATCTGTATGATCTAGATGGATCTAGATGGATTGTCCCCTGAGGGGGACCCCTGGCTCTCCTTATATAGTCTGGAGGAGGAGGGTTACAAGTAACGTATCATATTTGGTACTATTACAATATCTAGTACAACTTGTAATCTTGCCGTGCACACCTCGATCTTACGGGCCGGGCCACCTCGGACGGTACGACCCATGTCTTGTCTTGAGGATACCGGGGGCCATACCCCCACAGAGATGTATATAGTTTTTTAATAACCTTTGTATATGTTTTGGATTTTTTTACATTATTACAAGGAGCATTTATGGCTCGGATGGATTTTAGCGTTTTATAAAAGTAACAACTCTTGTTTTATTTGGCACATGGAATGCTATATAACACTTAGTTTTTTGAAGGCCATTGACGTTGACAGTGCGAGGGTGTTCCTTAAAGAATCCATGAATGTATGGAGGCAAAAGAAATTGGAGTTACAAGAAACGATAGGGAGCGTCCGATCTTTATCACACGGCTAAAATAGAATCGAGTATGGATCCGCTTAGAAACACTTGTCTACGAGGGTAGACAGGCGGGGCTTGGGACAGCTCCACTCCACGTTTTGCATCTTCGTTCCACATTTTCTAGCCTAACAGGTTCAGCTTCACGCAACTCTGCTCCAGGGAAAAAAAGGTGAAGTTGTGAGAGCACCTAAATGGGTGCTCCACAAACTCAGGTTTTTATAGAGCTGCTCCACGGTGGATTTTGTGGGACAGAGTTCGTGAACCAGTCATAAACACCCCCTTAGACATATGCTGTTAAAAATGTTAGATTTTTTTATCTTCTTGTTCTTATAGTGGATTTTGTTGATTTTATTACCTTGTGCCTAGGCACGGTTAATTTCCTTTTTTTCTTTAATAATAAACGAAAGGTTCTGTTTGTTTTGTAAAAAACGGTTGCCGAAGTATATATATAATACAATGATGGGTTGCACAATTTCGTAACACATGAGTGGGACCCACATAGTCATCATCACTAAAAAATGGAAATCCCAATCGGTCCTTATTTGTTCTTCTCCGGCAGACCCGCACGCATCCGCTCTTCGTTCTTCCGCAGCGCAAATCTCCGGTCGGCCTGTGGCCACACGGGCAAATCCACTTCTTCTCCCATTCACTTACTACTCTCCTCAATTTTATTTTCCCAAGCTTCCTCACTTGAATCGAGCTTCCTTTGGCCAAATCGCGACCCAAAGTGGTGCTTGAGAAGGATGATGAAGGCAAGAACAAGTTGAAGATCACCGCTGGATCAACGCAATATTTGAAAAGACAGCGGTGGTATGAAACAACAGTGGCACAACAGAGGCCGGCTAGGCCAACTCCACCAGTTGGCCAAGCCGACTCCAATACACAGCAGGGCCAGTCGGCTCAACCGACTCAAGGAGTCGGTGTAGCTGACTCTGCCACCACCTTAGCCAAGTCAGCTGAGTCGACTGCGCCAGTCGGCTTAGCCAACTCTCCTGGTTCCAACAGCTCCGGCCCCTTCGGTGTTCGTGTTTTGCGTACATTTGTTCCACAGCGACCGGAGATTGGCACCTGGAAGAGAAATGAGAAGAAGAACCAGGGAGAGTTCGTGAAGAAGCAATGCACCTTTGACAGGCTCATGGCCAAGTATAAGCAACAAAAGGCCGATTCCCAGAAGCGGCCGTTTAAAAAAAGAGAGTCTACTCTGCCTAAGCGGGAAGATGACAATATCAAGCAATTGGCGGTGGTGCAACCAACAGCTCCGTCTCAGAGAGTTGTTCCTCGTGTTTCTCGCTGGGGTCCCCCGATTCCGCCTCCGGTTACACCGCAATGGGGTCCTTATGGAGTTTGGGTGCCGTATCCTCTGGCAGCACCCGTGCATAGCCAACAAAGGTGGGAAGATCCTGCTGGTTCAATTCCAAGACCCTCCATCTTTAGCCGATTGAACAATTGTCAATCGAGCTCTAGCGGTACAAGTCAAGATCGTGTGATTACCTCCAGGACTTTGACTCCACAAGAGTCGAGAAAGGCACCAATGCAGCAAGTTTATGTGCCTAAGAAGGTTGAGATCCCCGTCGTTCCCCCACCAAGAGCTAGGCCTCAATCGGTTATCACAATCGGCTCCATGGAAGCTCCCGTCACTAATCATGATGGGCCGATTGTAATCGAAGAAATTCCGGATCTAAGCAAGATGAAGCTCCTAAAGATGTTTTTGGAGTTGAAGAGAAGAAACGTGTCGAAGGAGATTCCAAGTACCGGCAACCCGTATGGTGTCCTCGTGGGTTGAATAAAAGTCAACGGCGCAAATTGCAGCGTGCCCGACATAAGCAATAGAAGAGGGAGAAGCTTGCCAAGATAGAGAATGAAATCCTTGACCCCATACAGGTCGAAATCCCTCTGGAAGGTCAAAACGCCGCTACTGCTACTAGCCAGTTGGCTAAGTCGACTCTAGAGTCGGCTAAGCGGACTCCTGTGTTGAGCCAGTCAGCTAAGCTGACTCCTGAGTTGGCTGAGCCGACTTTGCTTGCCCTTACTGCTTCGGAAGCTCCAGAGTCAGCTAAGTCGACTTCCGAGTCAGCTGAGATGACTCCTGCTGTCCCGGGTGCCTCTAAGGTGTCCTCTGATGATTTTTCTACTACCGTTGCTGCTCTGGTTGGCATGGAGGTTCCTGAGGTTCCCGACGAGGAGATGGTTGACTATGAGCCTACTCCAGAGAGAGTGGAGGTCAATGTAGTTGTTTTATCTGCTGATTACTGCATCGTGGCAGATGACTCCACGGCGGCAGAATTTAATTTTGCAACGGAAAGCGCTATATTTCAGAAACCAGATGACTCCATCAACCATCTGAAGCCTCTACATGTGAAGGGCCATATCAATGGCACACCGGTCCATATCATGTTAGTGGACAATGGGGCGATAGTGAACTTGATGCCGTATCCGCTTTACAAGAAGCTCGGTGGCACTGATGAGGAGCTGATCAAGACCAACATGACAATCAGTGGTGTCGGAGGAGGTGCTCCTATTTCGGCCAGAGGAGTTGCTAACATGGAGCTCACCATTGGAAGCAAGACTTTGGCCACGGAGTTCTTCGTCGCCGACGTGCAAGGTAGCTATAACTTGATACTTGGGCATGATTGGATCCATGCCTATCGTTGCGTGCCATCTAGCTTGCACCAGTTTCTCATCCAATGGGTGGGAGATGTTGTTGAGGTCGTGCATTCAGATTCATTGGCTGATGTTGCTGCAGCCGATGCTCCTACACTCGGGGGCATGATGCTATTGCTTGTTTATCTGGTAGAGATCTTTCTAGTTTTGAATTTGTTAGTGTTAGCAGGCAAGGTTTTGTTCCTGTGTCTTGGAAGCCGATTGATAATCGGCTCAATATCATCATGTAATCATTATTATAATGGATGCTAACGTTGAATGGTTAAAACATCGTGTTGAACAGTATCAAACTAATAAGACCGATGCATGTGAGGCTATTGATGATTTTGATGAGCTCGATAAGTTGGGCCAAGGTTTTACATCGGCCGACCCTTTGGAACAAGTTGATATTGGGGATGGCTCTGTGCCCTGGCCGACATTTATTAATCAAAATTTGGAAGCCGATTACAAAGTTGAGTTAATCGCGCTTCTCAAGGAATATGTTGATTGTTTTGCATGGGATTATATAGAGATGCCTGGATTGAGCCGAGAGCTTGTTGAGCATCGGCTCCCTATTAAGAAAGGATTCAGGCATTTCAAGCAAAAAACCCCGTCGATTTAATTCTACAATTTATGATAGGATTAAAGAAGAGATTAATCGGCTGTTGCAGGCGGGGTTTATCCAGCCATGTAGGTATGCAGAGTGGGCCTCTAATATTGTGCCTGTTGAGAAGAAGGATTCTGGGAAGATCAGAGTATGTATTGATTTTAGAGATCTGAATAGAGCTACTCCGAAAGATGAGTATCCTATGCCTATAGCCAATATGCTTATCAATGATGCTTCAGGACACCGGGTTATTAGCTTTCTTGATGGTAATGCTGGTTATAATCAGATTTTCATGGCCGAGGAAGATATGTCTAAGACAGCCTTCATATGTTGGGTTTGTTGGTCTTTTTGAGTGGGTTGTGATGACATTTGGGCTGAAGAATGCATGTGCTACTTATCAAAGAGCTATGAATTTGATTTTCCATGATTTAATTGGGGTGATTATGGAGGTGTACATTGATGATATTGTGATCAAATCGGCCGCCCATAGATCTCATTTGGCCGATTTGCGTCTTGCTTTTGAGAGGATGCGCCGCTATGGATTGAAGATGAACCCACTCAAATGTGCTTTTGGAGTATCGGCTGGAAAGTTTTTAGGCTTCATAATTCATGATAATGGAAAAGAGGTAGATCCCAAGAGGATAGAGAAGATCAAGAAAGTTCAGGCACCTACGTGCAAGGACTTGCAAAAGTTCTTGGGAAAAGTGAACTACTTGAGGAGATTTATTGCTAACTTGTCCGAGAAAATTATTCCTTTCACCCCTATATTGAAGCTGAAGGATGAATCTGAATTCACTTGGGGGGGCAAACACAACAAGAGGCATTCAAAAAGATAAAGGAATATTTATCAACACCATCGGTTCTCCGTGCACCTAGGAGAGGAGTTCCTTTCAAGTTATATATTGCTGTCGAAGAGAAGGTAATCGGGGCTATTTTGACTCAAGAAGACGAAGGTAAAAAATATGTGATTGCTTATCTTGGTCACCGTCTTTTTTATCCCGAGACAAGGTATGCCCATATAGAAAAATTATACTTATCACTATACTATGATTGTGCTAAGATGAGACATTATCTTTTGTCTAGTACATGTATTGTTTCTTGCCAGGCCGATGTGATAAAGCACATGTTATATCGGCCAGTTCTTCGTGGAAGGATAGACAAATGCGCATACGCACTAATAGAATAAGACTTGACTTTTGAACCATTGAAAACATTAAGAGGTCAAGTTCTTGCTGATGTTATTGTTGAGCATGGTATTGATTTAGATGATGAAGTCAATTACCTTACTTTTCCTCCATGGAAATTATACTTTGATGGATTGGTTTGTAAAGATGGCCAAGGTGTTGGTATTATTCTTATTTCTCCTAATGGTGCTAAAATTGGAATGTTAAGCCGATTAGATTTCTCTTGTACCAACAATCAAACCGAATATGAAGCTCTATTATTCGGGTTGATCATGTTGCGGTCTATGGAAGTAAAACATATTGAAGCTTATGGTGATTCTTTGTTGGTAGTACAACAAATTGCTAGTGAATTTCAATGTTTAGAAGGATCACTAAGAGCTTGTCTTGATGCTTGCCTTGATGTTATTGATTATTTTGCCTAATTTCAAATTCGGCATATTCTGAGGCATGAAAATCAAAAGGCCAACATGTTAGCTCAGCAAGCATCTGGCTATGATGTTAGTGGACATAATTTCCATATTCAAGAACAGCCGATGCATGAAGATTTCAATTTTTCCTGTGTAGGTACAGACCAAGTTGGCTCAGCCGACTACTCTTCTGCTGTGTCTAAGTCGGCTAAGCCGACTGCCCTAGTTGGCCAAGCCGACACCTCTAAATTGGCTAAGCCTACTGGCCCAGTTGTTTCAGCCGACTCCCCTGTGACCAGCCCGGTCAATTTGCCCGAGAAGCTATCAAATCGGCCCGATATAACTTCCAGTGATGTTGGGGCCGATTTGGAAGATTGGAGGACTCCCTTGTTGAGATATCTACGTGATCCAAGTGTTAAAATTGATAAAAGTGTTCGGCGGAGCGCTTTCAAATATGTATTGCATAATGATGAGCTCTATCGAAGAACCGCCAAAGATTTGCTACTTAAGTGCTTGGGATCAGATTAGGCAAGAGTGGCTATGGGAGAAGTCTATGAAGGCATCTGTGGTACGCATCAATCGGCCCCGAAGATGAAGTGGTTATTGCATAGAGCCGATTTCTATTGGCCTACTATGATGGCCGATTGTTTTCACTACTACAAAGGTTATGAAAAGTGCCAGAAGTTTGGAAATATTCAGCTTGTGCCTGCAGTTGTGCTTCATCCTATCATCAAACCATGGCCTTTTTGTGGTTAGGGGTTAGACTTCATTGGCCAAATATATCCCCCATCTTCGAAGGGACACCGATTTGTGTTAGTTGGTACGGATTACTTTACTAAGTGGACCGAGGGAGTTCCTTTGAAGAATATGACACACAAGGAAGTAATTGAGTTCATTACTGAGCATATTATTCATAGATTCAGCATCCCTCAAACATTAACTACAGATCAAGGGACATCGTTTGTGTCTAAAGAGGTGAGGGAATTTGCCAAATTATATAAGATCAAGTTGCTCAATTCATCTCCATACTATGCTCAAGCCAATGGCCAAGCTGAGTCTAGTAATAAGACTTTGATCAAGCTTATCAAAAAGAAAATTGAGGAGAATCCAAGGAGATGGCATGAAGTTTTGTTTGAGGCTTTATGGGCACATCGCATTTCAAGGCATGGTGCTACAAAGGTTACTCCTTTTGAGTTAGTATATGGCCAAGAGGCCGTGTTGCCTGTCAAAGTGAATTTGGATACATATAGGCTTGTTAAACAAAATGATTTATCAGCTGTTGTGTATCATGATTTGATGATGGATAATATCGATGAGGTGACTGATGTCAGATTAAAAGCTCTCAAGGAAATAGAGAAAGATAAAGCTCGAGTTGCCAAAGCATATAACAAGAAAGTCAGGAGCAAATCCTTCTAAGTGGGAGAATTGGTGTGGAAAACCATACTACCAATTGGATCGAAGAGCAATTAGTTTGACAAGTAGTCACCGAATTGGGAAGGTCCTTACAAAGTGGTCAAAGTTATATTCGGAAATTCATATGTGCGAGAGACATTGCAAGGTGAACGTCTCACGAGAGCATTCAACGGGAGGTACTTGAAAGGGTACTTTCCAAGTGTTTGGCAAGAAGCCTAAGTGCTCTCCAAACAATAGACGATACATATATTGCCCTTAGAGAAAAATGGCCGATGTATACATCGTCCTTAGTCACTAAGCAGCCGGTGAGATGGGTATCGTCGCTGTTTGGTTTTGATTAAGTGTTTTCAGGTTTATGCATCATTAACCTGAAAACAGGGGGCATATGTTGACAACAAAAAATGTCTATTTTGTGAAGTTGTCAAAATGTGAAACGGACTTCACCATTGTGTTCCTCTTGTCGAGACGGTCAAAAACATATATGGAACGTCTAATTCGAGGTCCGGATGAAGAAGTTATGCCCTCGAAAAGA